ATAAGACTTCATACTAATGTTAATATCTGTAGATTTCAAAACTTTTACATTAGATTTGCAAGTCGCCCTTGGTTCTCAGTAACATTTCCAGAGAAGAAAAAAATCATCACATTTCTCTTTTGAAAATTGTGATTATCTTTCTATAACTTCATTTTCTTGGCAATGAAAAAATGTTCTACTCCTCAGTTGGATAGTAACCAGCCATCAGTACTATCAAGACACAGCAGAGAAAGTATGGTTTTTCTATCTTCTAGATCCTTGATAAATTAATGAACTTTTAGAAATGACTCTAGAGATGTTTATAGAAAATTGTTTTGGGGGAAAAAAGGTCAGATGCACATCTTGGTTGTACATTAGGGAGTGGGTGGGAGGTTTACATTCTACAGTTTTGCTTCACTGTTGAAATCCATTGTCCCAATTCAAAGAAAATGCTGCCTAGAGCCCCAAATCTTTCACAAGGATTGATCATGTGGAAGCCACAAAAGACAATTCAGCACAATTTCCTGAGGAATAGAACACCTTTGCAAGATTCACTGGAAGGTCCAGCCTTGAATAAATAATGTAAATCCTCTTCTACACCAAACTCTGCCATTACACAGCTTCTTCTCATGTGGCACTGGCTCTAGCATTGGATCATCTTGATTCTTTGAAAGAAAATGAACTCTTGGAGATATAATTTTCACAGTTTAAATCTATAATAATATTAGAAATACCAAGAGAAAATTTATTGGGGAGTCATTTCATAATATTAATATATATATATTAAAAAAACTGAAGATGAAATGTCATCACTGTAATGATGGACTGAATTGAATTCCCACAAAGTCTACATTTGGAAGTCTTAACTACCAGTATCTTGTGAACATATTTGGAGCTAGGGTCTCCAAAAAAGGTAATTAAGTTAAACTGAGGTCATTAAAATGGGCCCAAATCCAATATGACTGGTGTCTAGTAAGAACAAATTTGGACACAAACATGTACAAAGGGAAGACTGCACAGTGAGAAAATTATATACAATTCAAATAGAAAGGCCTCAGAAGAAACCACTCGTGACACCTTGAGCTCGGATTTCAAGTCTCCAGCTTTAAGGAAAAATAAACTTCCATTTTTTTTTAAGATTTATTTATTTATGCATACAGAACTGGGGTACAGGCCAGAGGTGCAGGGGCAGCGAGAGGCTTCACCAGAGACAGAGTGGGGAGCAGAACAGGCAGATCTACGAAGCACACTACTGAGGGGAGCAGCGGGCGGGTCAGGAGAGGTCTGCCACACTATGTGGTCTCCTCCGGGGCAGGCGGGAATCGAACTCATGCGGAAGTGGCTTTAGCTTCTCAGTGCTGTGCTTTAACCCCCTGCGCCACCAGGGAGGGCCCTACACTTCCATTTTTTCACCCATTTTTTCTGTGGTGTTTTGTTATGGTAGCCCTAGCAAGCTAATACACTGCTCGTAACAATGAGAAAACACTGATTTTTATATTTGTGTGTTTAGCTATACTTTAGTTCCTAAAGCTTATTTAATAACAGTTACTATAATGACTAGAAGATTTTGTCAAAATTAGCATGAGTCCATACCCTTATCAAATTAAATGGGTTTTGACTTTAAGTTTATTTGTATTTTTTAAACTCTAACATGTCATCTAAGGAAGGTGATACTGCCAGTGATTACGACATGATATTATTTCTGATTAAGCAGATTAAAAAAATACGTCATTGATTAAATGAAGGGCAAATAGAAGAACAAATTGTATTTTTTCATTGTTTTCTCTGGTGTGTATATTAGCTCATTTTAATTCCAAATGTTAACATAATTGAACAGAGGCGTAGGCTACTGAGATGAAGTGGGCAGAGTCCCAAGAGAGGATTTTTATGAAGCCAGAACTTCTAAAAGGATGACTGATATTAAGAAATGATACATTAAGGTATTATGTCATGCCAATCATAAATTATCTTCGCCTCTATGAAACTTTTGTTGTTAGTACAAATGACTTTGAAAGAATGTTATGTCATTATTAGGAAGAATAATGGAAAAGTACAATACTCAATATAAGTGAACCACTTCTATGGTAGCCCCGCAGACTGTCAATCTCTGGCAGATTTTCATAGGACTTAAGAGGGTAAATATATGTGTTATGAGCAGAGCTGTGTCCCTACAAAATTAGTATGTTGAGGTTTTTATGGAGGAAATTAAGGTTAAAATGTGCTCAAATGGATGGGCCCCTAATCCATTAAGACTGGGATGCACAGAAGAAGTATTAAGATTAATGTACACACACAGAAGAAAACCATGTGAGGGGACACTCATGCTAGTGAGAAGGCAGCTGTGTGCAAGTCAAGGGGAAGATTCAGGAGAAACTATATCTGGACACACCTTGACGGGCTTCTGACTCCAGAACTATGAGGAAACAAACTTCTGTGTTTAAGCTACTCTGTCTGTGCTATTTTGTCTTACAGTCCTAGCAAGCTAATAATGTAGGTATTAGGTCACTATCGTGGAAATATTAGTAAGAGAGAATATATTTTACTTTTCAAAAGAGTTTTTACATTGCATTCTGGTTTCACACTTAACGGAAAGTCAGTGGTTTGTGTGTACTTAGGAGAATATGGGATAAAGACAGTTCAAATGTTTACTCCAAATTAATCCAAGCACTCATTTATATTTATGTGTTTTTTTTCCTCTCAAAATCATTAAATGTATTCGAGGAAAATTTGGAGATCAAATTTTCAAAGGACTATCTCTTCCTACCAGAAAAACTTGATAACTATTAAATATGATAAGAGAAATAACCTGACAAAGTAGAGTAAGATGGTATATATATTGCATATAATAAGCCATAAGAAAACCATGTGTATCACTTTAAGTAAATTTTAACACCTCTCCAGTTCAGCTGATTTCTGAGTATGGACTCCACCTTATTTTGGAAGATAACTGATTATTTTCCATTCAACATTTATAGGTGTATTACATGAGACTTTAATATGGGTAATTATTTAAAGGACCATAGTAATCATCTTACCTTTAAAAAAGAAAAAGAAAATTTATATTTTCTAATCCTACCGTCATTTTAGTTTAGTATTAATTTTTTCCCCCAGGGTTTTGTGTGTATGCATTAAATACTTGCTCCAAGACAATGCTTCCTAAATAGTGGAAAAGATATATACTTAGAAAGACAATAAAGAAAAAAGGTAACCAAAGTATTCTAGTTTGTACCACAAGTGGTTTCATTTTATTTCATCAGAAGTTAGAGAAGGTATAAGAATTGTGATAAACATTAGCAGTAGTGAATTCACCAATGATGTTATCTGGCAATTAAATACAGTGATTTAAATATCATCTGAAAAGAAAACATAATCATGTTGTCTCATCTCTTCATTCCATTCAGGATAAAAATTGATTCAAACTAATTATGAAAAACATTATATGTTGTCATACAAGGAATATCCCATCGTGATAGACAGGAGATTTTTGAACATTACATTTGCAAGTAGAGGTTAATCAAATCCCCTTGTTTAATTTCAGGAGGTCAGTATTTCTAAGAGCTTGCACGTGGATTACAAGAAACCAGAGATGTTTTACTCAGTGTCACTGTAGCACCTATTTCTTTTAATTTGCTCTTCCACAGTGAGTTTTTCAGACTGGTGCTCCACAGTGAGATGCAAAGGCTTAGCCGTACATCCACTGCTTGGAGCCTCAAGATTTGTGTTTCCATTCATGCGGGCTAACTCCATGGCTTCATCATGCCAACATTTGATGCCCTTCCCAAACTCTCTTAAATACAAACATGGCATATTTTTAATTTCATCTACAGATTCTATTAAATCATGCTCAAAAATGTTCTCATTCTTCTTGGAAAAAGCAGCGATTTTCACAGTGTTGGAAAAAAGGAAGTGTAGATTTTTGTTATTTGAGTTGTTTCCTTTGATGTGTAAGACATTCTTATCAGAAGGGATCGTTGAACTTTCCCCCTTTACAACTAATGCACTGTTGAGGTTTGATTTTGGAGCAGACTGCACAGGACTGCCAGCAGTACCTCTGTCAGTCTGCTTATCAAGAGCCATTGCTAGTACATCCCTAGAATAAGCCTTTTCAGTTTCAAATATACCAAGTAACTCTGAGATTCTAGATGTGTTTTCTACATGTTCAGTTTGATATTCATTTGCTGTGCAGTTTGCTTCACTTGACAGTGGTAATAAATTAGGGAATTCTAAAATAGATGTCTTCTGCTTGCAATGATTCAGATATGAGACTGTGACATAATTGTTGTTATTATTCTTATTCAAATTCTCTTTATGAGTTTCAGGCACTACCTCATCTTCAGTGTTAGTAACCTGTAAAACTTCCATATCATCAGGTTCATTAGTTTTTTCATTTTTCTCCTTCTCAGCACTCTGCACAACCAGATTATTGCTGTCATCAAGATCCATTTCATTATTCCTCTCATTCTTTGTATCTTCGGCCGCATTCAGCTTATCTTGCATGTTCTTATTTCCTTCCTTCTCATCTTTTTGTGCTTCATCCATTTCTATTTCTTTGATTCCAGAAACACCCCCTTTCTGACACATATGCATGGACTGCAGATATGGCTGTAGAAAAGGAAGGTTATCTTGCTCTTTTCTTTTCTTTTCCAGAGTTTTTATGTGTTCTCTCAGTGAATCACTTTTAAACAAAGCAGATGAAGGGGTTACAACTTCGGGTGGCCATTTAGGTTTACACACTTTGAGCTCTTCCTCAAGGGGGAAGGTTTTCTTTGGCATCTCCCTTAAAGGGGGCCAAATGACTTTTAATTTTCCCCACTCCCTGAATTTTCTCAAATCATCCTTTTGCCCTTCACTGTTACCAGCATCTAAATACTTATTAAGACCATCAGGTATGAGAGTATTTTCTGCACATACTTGGTTTTTACACATACTTGGTTCTTCATTAGGAATAAAGTCCACTGAGCTGCTTTGAGTTTTACAATTCCATTGATCTTTATGTTGTTTGTGTCCAAAACCTTCATCATAATTTCCCTTAGATTTGAAAAGTTGTTTAAAGTGAGGTTTACAATACATTTGTCCATGAAGTGATGCATAACTTCCCAAACTGTCAAAGAGAAAAAAATTAATAACCTGTTTATGCACTGCATATACACATGGATTAAGGAATTAATTGTTTCAAGAATGAGTCAGAGTCAGTACAATTAACTGGCAACAAAAATGTGCTTATCAATTAAATACCCCTGCTAGATAACATTTACACAAATACCCTATATGATATAGGTCTTCTAGTAGTTAGAATTGCATGATGTATGTAAGTATTGGCATAATTGGTATCAAGTTAATGTAAATGTATATATAGCTGATAGAAGATGATAGGGATAAATCTGTGCTAACTCAATAATTTATGTGGGAGGTTATAATTCTTAAATATTGAAGTGCACACATACCAAAACCAACTACTTGAACTTTATTATGAACTGGGTTTTTGAATGAATTGGAAAGTTTGCCTAGTCAATTGTTCATCTGGTCTCTCTAGGGAGATCACTAAATAGATTGTCGATTGAAATTAGAATAATATTTAATCAAATTCAACAACATAAATTTTTAATATCTCAGAATCTCTGCATAAAAACAACCAGATAGCAAAATTAAAAAACTTCTTGACAATATTTACAACAAAACTATGTGATAAGGTTTCTCTTCACCAAGCACCAAATAAGTAGAAGGAGTTAAGGATAAACTACCAATAGCTGTGAGACCAGAGTGGTGGTTGCCTATTTAGATGATAACAGAGAGAAGGCAAGTGTCTAATGTACCTGAGAATATGAAATCACAAAATAACCAGCAAGTATTTCCTAGGAAATAGCATGTCAACAAAGAACAGCAGTTAAATCTGGGAGGGAATTTGCCCTCTAAAGAGCTCTGTGGTAGAAAGTCTTTCATACTGTTTGGGAACTGGATAACTGAAACTTTCAAAACTGGTCCACTGAGGTTCCCTTTTAGAACAAGATCCCACACTGAAAAAAAATATGGTAGTGGAATGAAAGTCAAGTAGGTTAATAATAACAGAAAGGACAGACAACAGGGAACTGACATGGAGCAGAGTACCCAAGGCAGGAAATTCTAGAAATCAAGCTAGCATGGTTCATTTTAACAGTATTTGAAAACTGGAAGAGATAACCATGAGGTTAGGACAGCCATCATTACCGATATTAAAGATAAACATAAAGTACCCATACATGAATAGTAGGAATTCCTGAAAAAGAAAATAAAGCAAGAAAACAGTTTAAATATTAAAAAGTTACAATTTAAGAAAAAGGTATGAAGCTGTATGTGAAGAGCATGCTGATAATATTGACCCAGAATGACTAATACCAAAAATTTTTCTAATAAAGTTACTAATGTGAAATGTATACAAATTAAAAATCTTTTATATGTCTGAAAAGCAAAGTAAAAAACAATGAACTGTGTCATAGAGGAACAGAAAATTGGATCGCAAGAACTTAAGGAATAGTGTTCCTTTCTGAGGAATCTACTAGAATTTAAGCTTGACAACCAGAATGACTTGAGAAACATCAACATAATGACTGGTGGTGAGTTTTAATTATAGTGTTATTTGAAAATTAAATTTAAATGAGAGCAAAATAAGAGATAATATGATTTGTGATCACTAGACTCTCACGATGAACAACTAAGATAATAGTACAACAATTAATAGAGAAGAAACTAAGCAAAAGGAATTCAGTTTTGAACTTGCTTTGAAAATTGCACTATAAATTTATGACTTTTTTTCTTTAAATATAAATATCTACCAGTTCCTCACATTGACAAAGTTTAGAAATAGTGAAATGACAAACCCAGTAGGAATACTATTGAGATTGTAATCTTGAAATACCATTTCTCACTCAAAGAAACCTGGTCTTGGAGAAATAAACTGATTCTAAGCCTGGAGCAGGAAATGCATAAGATGAGCATGTAACATTTAGTCTATCAGAAAATGAGAAAACTATCAAAGATCACTAAGGTTTTGTATAAAGGATTCAGGAGACAACTTGTAGAGCCTCCCACTTGCCAGAGAGAATAATTCAAATTTCAATAATAATAATAATGCATGTGAATTATTGAATAGATTTCACCACCAATATATTAAACTTTAAAAAAACTTTAAAATAAATTTTAAATTTATTTTAGGGAATGATAAGGAATTACTTCATCATGTTCTTAAATTATACATTAGCAAATTTCATAAATAAAGGGAAGTGATTATAGATTTGTCCAACCAACTAACTATATCAATATGTAAAATAGTAGATGAGGGGAATGGGCTCCTGTGAAAGTATTCTAACAATGAGAGAGCTAGGACAAAATTAAATAATCAGCATTATGCAAATATGAATGAATGAGAATAGGCTTTAAACTTTGATATCTACTATAAATGCAAAATTCTGATAACAACAGATATTAGGTATTTATTATAACTTTGAAACCCTCTCCATGTCCTTGCAAAAGGCATCTTTGTTTAAAACAGAGTCTAGGCCCACCACCATTTTAGAGAATGTAGAGGAGAGAGGAGTACATAGCATTGCAACCTGAAACCTGAATGTGTGGTCAGCAAATCCAGACCATACAAAGCTTTATGGGCTAAATGACCTGGATCTTCACAAATAAATTGTAAACAATGGCACGGATAGAAAATATATGGATTCAACAAGCCTTTAAAGAACATTGAAGTTCTGAAAATTGTCCACATCTTAATGTTGAGGAAGGCATATTTGGATTAAAAACAAACAAACAAATCCGAAAACTATAAAAATACAGGAAACAACTATGAAAAAGCATCTTATTTACTCAAGGGAGAGACAGAGCAGGTTGATTTTGAGTGGGGCACATGGCTGAGGCTTCTGGAGCCACTGACAATGCTGTATTTCTTGACTTGGATAGTAGTTATAAAAAATTCATTTTGTAAGACTTTAATGAATCATGTTTGCTTTGTTAGGTTTTCTGCTTTTTGTACAGTAATTAAAAAAAAGCCATTAAATATATATTTCTGAGTCCTTGCAGGTCAGACTTTACTGGCATTGGCATTTCCTACATTTGAGGCCAACTACTTTAGATTGCATTGCAAATAAGGCAAAAGGGGTGGGAGTGTGCTTTGGAAGCTCAGAGCCCCATTTAGGGGATTTAAGCAGGTGTCGTCAGAGACCTAAAGTATCACTGGAGCTGAAGAATGGATTGTGAGAGAGCTGAGGAAGTCCAGAGGGAAAATGGACTACATGGAGTGAAAATAACTTTTGGAACCAATAACGCATGCGAGGAAAATAATGATTTTGAGGAGACAGAAGAAATTCATTCTTCATGAAAAGTATCATGCATTGAGAGGAAGAAGAGGTGGAAGGCAGAGAAGGTAGCAGTAACAAGGCCCAGACCTGCCTTTTAAATTCATGTTAAGGTGAATGTTTTGAATAAGAAAGTGGCCTCAGATTTGCATTTTAGAAAGATCATTCTTACTATATTATGGAGTGTGGCACTAGGGAGTGTTGGTGATAGAGGTGATTGATGGTGGTGGTGAGAGTCACTGGAGGCAGGGAGACAAGTAGCTAGAAAGACTGACATCAGTAGATGAGAGATAATACTTGTTTGAAGGATACCTAAGCTGTGGAGGTGACAGCAGTTTATAGCTCAAGAGGTATTTTTGAGACAAAAATTAAAGGACATGGTGGGTTGCTTGGGTGTAGGGAATGAAGGGGTGGAAAGGGTCTAAGGTAACGTCACAATTCAGTCATTGAATTAATGTTTATGTCATTTTCTTAGACAGTGGCATATAGACCATGCAATAAAGGAATAGATTTCAATAATCGATAGTGGCATATTGATTTTGTTATAAAAAAAAAGTTTAGAACGCCAAACTTTTACCTCAGTTTACTGTTGCAATGGTGACATCGGAAACAAGATTTATGAAAGCTCTGCTTGTCTGCTACTAGGCATTCCATTGGATAAACTGTGCGTTGACAAAGTATACATATTTCCTTGTCTTGGAGTAGCAGTTTCTAAAAATAAAAATTTACAAAGCTTATATAGTATTATCTTTAATTACATTATAAAAATGAAACAAACACCAATAGCACATTAAGTAGCCATGCATTTAAATTAGAATATTCTAAGACTGTTGTCTCAATACTGCTTTTTGGGACACAGGCCATCCTACCATCAAGTTTGAGGCCCTGGTACATTATTCTAGGGTCTCCAGGATATAACTTGTACAATGTATAAGTAAATTGTACAAGTTGACAGAAGTTATTTAAGGAAGCACACATGAAAAAATATTTTCCTTAACTTTAATGTGTTAAGGGCTATATATAGTAAATTCAGCTCTCGGGAGCCCTGAGAGAACTTACCATTCTAAATAACTGTATTTCCATATATATTACAATTAATACATTATAATAATTCACTCTATTACTACTCCTTAACTTGAATACAATGAGACTTTTCAAAATATATTGAAATATTGAGGGTTATTTGTCCTCAATCTAAATAGCTTTAGACTGTAGGGCCTCATGGATCTAAAGTCTGCCTTTTATAGTTGACTACCTCTTTCTTGCTGTAAAGTACAGACACTTGCCACAGTTCTAATATGAATAAGAATATAACTATATTATTGTATTATTGTTATATTACCAACAAGTGCTTGCACAGTGGTGTGAAACTGATATGAAACCTTGTATTGCTTTGATCCTCACAACAACCCTGGGAGAATAACTAAGTTTACACATTAGCTATATAGAAGAGCATTTAGGCTCAGGATTCTTTATACAAATAAAGATGATACACTCTGGTGCTTCTGATGCCCAATTTGAGCTACTGAGAGATTTCCTTTGATTATTTGGTGCAAGTAGAGAACATATTTCCATATTTAATGCCAAGTTCCCTGTATTTTCTGTTTTTAGCTATCTTAACAGAAATTGAGCATTTGAAATTAATTAGACATCTTTGCTTAATTAAATGCCAGAAGCAAGCATATTAAGACAACACATTAACCTGATAAAGTAGACACATATGTTGCAAATATGATAGAGGCATAATTATTAGTTTTGGCAGTTTTTATTTTTAAGCTTGCTATTTCTTTCAATATGTCTAAAAGAATGAACTAAATTAATGATACCCATTAATTATGTCAAATCCTTTATTGTAAAGCCTCATTAATTGTAAAAATGTAGGGAAATATAAAGAAACAAACTGCTTTCAGATATGTTTCTATGTCCCATATGTTTTAAACCTCTTTCCTCGCCATATAATCTAACATTTAAAATGTATTACCCATGTCATCTGTGAATAGGAGCTATCATCTGGGGTTTATTTTAAGGAAGATTAAAAAAGTCGGCTACAGAAAAAAGGTAACTAAAATCACAAAACAGTCTATGCAGCTTTATAACAATAACTAAATATATAAAAGGCCTAATTTTCTATCCATACTTTTCAGAACTACCAATCAATAAAAATCCTTAAAGCACATATGAAGAGTGTAAATAGCTTCTTGGATTATTACCAGTGTGTACTGAATTCAAAAGCAAACAGCATTTAAGTCTGGCAGTTAAAAATACATCAATAGGTCAAGGGATGTTACTAACTATCTAAAATAAGTGCATAACATAGCATTTTATAAGAAATAGTAATAACGTACTATGGTAGTACATCTTAATAAATATATAGTTAAATATAATCATTAGTATCACAATAAAACTATTATAAGGGTTGCTTTACCTAAAACCTTATTTACCTCGACAAATACAGGTCCCCACAAACCCCATGATATATACACAAGTACTTGTTATTCTCACACCACACAGATGAATCATATCAGGCGTTTTTGTAAATAGAAGGTAGTAAAAGCAAACACTACAAAGAAGAGATCAGCATTCAGGGAAATGTGTTAGTTTTGTGTTATATTGTTTTGTTAATTGTTAACTGCAAATCATTTTAGCTATGCGGCATGCAGAACACCTGCCTTTTCATGGGTTAATCTCCCCTCACACTTTGCAAGCTCATTTACCACTTATAAAGGAAGATTGCTCCTGGAAGGTGGTTCTCATCTTGGTTGCTGAAGCATCTGAGGTTCCATATCCCTGGTTTTTAATAACTCTTCCACTCTCCTGCCATGTCTCTTGAAAATGTCTCCTGAGTCCATCTGGTGAATCAGAAATATCTAAAATGTGGCCAGCGATGACATCTTCATAGGTTGGTGGGGCATGCTTAAAGTCAAAGCCAGCTTTGTTGCCTTCTGAGCTACGAGATGACATTTGACTCTCAAAAGCATCCACACCTGAGAAATGTTCACTTAGAGTTCTTGCTTCAGCGTGCACTCCAGGCTGCTTAATAGTAATTCTTTCTTTCATTTCTATAGGATGACTGTGAGAAAAGTCCGTGAAACTAGTGTTTTCTAAAGATGTTGATCCAAATTCCTCCTTACAAAATGTATGACTTTCTTGTTTTATATTATGGTTGGCTTCTCCGTTTGCATAAACTCTTTTGTTTGACTTGGCTTCAAAAAGTGGACTATTCTCCAATTCCCTGAACCATCTGTTTATTTCATTTTCATGGTCATTCATGAGATTTTCAACAGTTCTGTTTGCTTCTTCAAACCTCTCCGTGTGCTCTGACAGGTGAGGCCCTTCCACTTTGCGGATGATTTCTACCGCATCATAACTTTCAGTATCCGGCACCGCACACTGAGAGGCACTCACTCCATCTTTATGAACATATGTCGTAGCCCTTTTCTCTACTTTCCTCACTTCCTCCTGAGCTTTCATGGATTCTCTGAAGGAACTGCCAACTTGGTTTACACTTATGGGTATTGTGATTGTAGGTGGAGAGTCCCTTCCTTGACTTTCTATCTTAATTTGACGACGAAGTGTTGCAGGAGACGTGATGATCTCAGACCTCTTTTCCACGATCGGAACTGGGCTGGCTGATGAACGTGGCACGGTCACTCTGGACAATTTTGCAGTGGTGTCTCTGAGTCTGACAAGCTGTTCAGAGCGTCTGGTAGGTGGAGAAGGGGCGGTATTTGCTCTGTGGATTCGAGACGGTTGAGACGTGGACGTTTTTGGTGATAGTTCAGCAAAACTGTCCTTTTTAGGGGACTGAGAAATCCCATCCTTAGTTGGGGTTTCTGTTCGACGGGCAGTCGACTCGATTGTTATAAAAGTTGGTGATGGGGGGCGTGTTTTCAAAGAGGGAGGGGACACCCTGAGAGTTTCTCCTTTAGTTTCCTGTTGGGTTTTCACAAGATTATGAGCAGTTGTTTCATGACTGGCTGCTACTTGATGATGCTCTGTTTTTTCTACAGGTTTATTTTCTTTCTGTTCAGTGCTTTTATTATAGCTGATATTAACACTGGACACTTTCGATAATGTTTCATTAGGACTACTGGGTTTATTTCTCTGATTGCCTGTTTTGAAGGATGTCATGGCTGTTTGAATTATATTTTCACAGGATATGAGCATTTCTTCTGCATGAACTTTAATTTGCCTTATTTCCTCTTTAATTTTTTCTACATTATTTTCCATTGCAATGCACTCTTCATATTCTCTCTTTTCTTCACTTAGTAGCCACCCTGGAATAATATTTAACAGTGTCTGAAATGCCCTAAGGTCATTTTTATTTGGATCTGCTTCAAACTCTTTCACCCTAGACAAAATCTGTTGTAGTTCTTCACGTTTTCTCAAAAATTCCAATATGTTTACAGCACACTTTCCATCATCCTGCTGGGATTCTTTCTCAGAGGAAAATAAAAATGTGTTCTGTATAATCTCTTGTTTTGAATCTTTCATATTAGAAGAGACTTGTTTCTGTTGTACACCCTTGTCTCTAAGACATTTTTCTTCCTGCAGATATGGTTGGGGCAATTTTTTATGTTCAACTTGACTTTCAGAATTCTGTATTTGTGTTTGTTGAAAATTCTGAGTCTGTAAATCAAGATGTATATCACTGACCTTTTGCCTGACTACTTTCTGTGTGGATGTGTTCAACTGTTCTTTTTTCTTTTCAACCACTAGTCTCTCTTCATTTGGACCAGTCATCGGTGGTCCCTGAGTTGCTTGTCCACCTCCTAGAAAGTTCCCGCTTTCAGATTCTCTAAATTCTCTTTGCTTCTCATTAACTATATTGAATTTGCTTTCCTGACTTTTTCCTGCAGGTTCTGTGGGAATTTCTACTGTCACTCTTTTGTCTTTGTTAGGCAACGGATAATATTTGTCAGCCATGGGTTGCTTATTATGATCTCCAGTGTGTGTCTCAATTTTCTCTGCTTCTTGGTGTTGCTGGGTGATGGTTTGCATGGTAACTTTAGACTGCTTTTTTTGGCTTTCATAGCTATGGTCTGTTTCATTTAATTTATGATCTATAGTTGGAAGTCTGATCGTCTTAACTTTGAAACTTGGGGCCCCTGGTTTGCTCTGCAGGGAGTGCTGCTGCTCCACGCATGTCTGCTGTGTACTACATCCTAGGTGACTCTGTTTAATTTCACAGGCTGCTGTAGATTGTATAGTGTCCCTTGAGCTCTGTAAAACTTCCTTTTTCATAGTACCTTTGTCTTCAGAGGCTACAGGAATAGGCTGGGCTTTCTTGGCAGTAATTGACACTGCTGGTGCTGTGGAGAGCTGGTTATCAGCACACAGTCCTGGTACCTGAGAATTCCTTTGAAAGTCTGCATTGGATTGGGGTATGGTGACCTCAGAATCCATTCCAGGTAAGTGGATGTCCTCATCTGTTTTATGTAAAAGTACTTCCTTTTGTATCTCTGATATGTTTTGATGTTGCCTTTCTGTTTGGACTGTATTATAGCAAGAATTCTCATGTTTCTGTCTTTCAAGCTCTTCTTTGTGCTTTCTGTATTTTTCCTCAGCAATCATTAAAGGGGTCTTAAATTTTCTCATATAAGGTTTTGGACTGTGTTCTCCTGTACTGGCTGGAAAAGAATGTGATTTTATGAGAGGTGCGACCTGTTTCCTTTTGGTTGCTGAAATTTCTGGAATGGTTTGTGAAAGAGACCTTGTAGAGTCCATAGATAATTGTTTTATTTCATCAAGACTTTTTCTAGCAATGTTTTGCTTTGTTGCTGTGTGTTCACTGTGAGGTGCCATTATCATTTTTGTCAGATCCTCTGAGGGAGTAATTGTACATTCCATTCTTGGAAGGGAATTTTCCATTTCAACTTTTGAGGAGTCTTGACTCTTTTTATCTCCTATCCTCTTAAAAAATTTGGGTTTGGGGAGTGTGGGAGGTGGCACACGTACCCCTGATTTTCCTGTTATGATTTTAGCCTGAGAATGAATTTGCTGAGAGTTTGAGGATTCTTCTGGGGAATACTGTGTTAATGTTTCACTATGTTTCCCTTGAATGGAGGAGGAAGGAAGACGTGTGGGTTTTAGAGCTAGAGTTGGAGTTGGATATGGTTGAATCTCTGACACACATTCTCTGTCAGATCTCACTTCTTCTGGTGGCGGGGGAAGTGGGAGGACTGGGAAACTTTCACATTCTGCCTTTATCTTGGCTGAGGACAGTGATGGGGGAAAGACATTTTTTTCAGGCAACATCATTAAAGGAGGTGGCGGAGGAAGAGGAAATTCAATTTCTGATGATGAGTTGGAGGGTGGAGGAGGAGGAGGAGATGGAGGTGGAAGAGGGCACTCATTTTCTTTAACATTATTTTTAGGATTAAAGTTGACTGGATTAAAAGACATTTCCATTGCCATTTTTAAGTCTGTGGAAGTATTTGTCTTCATTAGAAAGCCTTGGCTCTTCAGATGAACATTCTGTTTCTTGTCAGCTATCTTAAATTTATTGTGGTCTTCTTGCAAGAATTTCACTTCTGTTACATTTGAGGTGTCTTGATCTATAGGCAAACTCTGCCACATTGGCTGAAAGTGCACATTCTTTATATCTTTATTAGAATATTTCATTTCTTGTTTTAACAAAGTTTGCTTCTGACTGCCCCCTGTAACTTCACACATTTTTCCAATTGTCTTATTGACTGGACCCTGGGCAGGGCCAGACATGGGGTTTTGTGTATCTTTTGATCTTTTAATGTCTTTGGAATTCTTGGAACATGTTGCAGGGAATGCCTCAGTCTCCTGAGAATCATTCTTCAGTTGGCAGGCTTGTATCTGTTGCTTTTCAACGTTTTTGTTACTAGATTGGGTGGCATTATAGACATTATCCTTTTCCTGTTCCTTAACTTTCTTTGACTCATTAGTTGTTAGACTTTCATGGGCTGACAGAGTTGAAATCATCTGTTTCCTCATATAGTCATTTCTAAGCTTCTCTCTTGTGGTATCAGTCCAGATACCCATTCTGTCCCCTGATTCCAATACATTTTTAATGGCTTTATGTTGTGGATTGGATAGTTTTCTAAGACTTTTTTCAAGATCATCATTGTTTTGTTCATGATCTATGACAAATTTAACAGTACCTTTGGGGGCTTTTGGAAGATTAACCTCGGTTCTTTCTTTTGTCCAATTCCCATGGCAAGAACTGTCTGTAGTTTGAGTGAGAGTGCTTATTTCCTCTTGCCACTTGGCTGCTGGCTCAACTTGTCCTGGCCGTGGCTGAAGAACATTTGGCTCTTCTGAGGACCCTGCCACCACAGTGAGCCCATCTTCTCTGATTACCCCTTTTTTATCCACCTCTTTGAAAGTTCTCTGTGCTTCTTTCAGGTTCCTTAATGATGTTTCAAGGTCATCTAGGATAAGCTCCTTTTTCAGAATTTCTGTCCTTGTGTTGGCAGTCCTTTCAAGACATTCAATGGCTTGCTCAATATCACCAGGGATGGCACTAAGCTTAGAATCTTTCCCTTGATGTCCTGAATCCTTAAGTGACTTGACTGTGGCCAGCATGTCACCTCTTCTGGTTTCTTCAGTTTTAGCCACCATTTTCTGATTTATGTCCTGGTTGAAAGAATTCAAGGTTGATTTTGATTTGAATTCAGCTTTTATAATTTCTTCCTTGGGTGTTTTATAAGATATACTCTGAGGCTGTGCCATAAAAACCTTAACTGTGTTATGCACATCTCCTGGGATGATGTCAGTTTCATTAACAGTATGTTTAACCTGAGACTGCCTTTTCTTTAGTAACAGTTTTGTACCCTCAACATCATCACCAATTATAGCTTCCTCTCTTTCTTGTTTGCTAGCTGTTAGTGTTTCACTTGACCCTGTCTGGAGTTGTCTGAGATAATCCAAAGCTCCAGTTTCTATGCATGTTGTAAAAAACTGAACATTTCCCCTTTCAGAGACATCAATTTTAGTCCTTTCAGATATTTTATCTGTTGATATGGATGATAGCAAATTCTGAATAGTATGTTTTACATCACCCCCTGTTACTTTTTCACGCTCAATTGTGTCTCCAGGGCTTTCATGAAGAAGACAATAGAGAGTCATTTTAACATCTCCTTTTTCATCTTCTTGAATTAAAATACCTTTCTTTACAGATCTTTCCTCAGAGGAAAGGTTTCTGATTGCCTGTTGCACATTACCACTCACTATTTCTTCTTTTTCAGCATGAAATTCTGTTGATCTATTCAATAATTGAGTTTTGGTCAAATGAACATTTCCCCTTTCTTCTTCACTAACTAAAATCTCTCTTTTTATACTGTCTTCTTTGGAAAGTAGGTTCACTATTATATTTCTGAGATCAACCCTGATAATGTCTTCTTTCTGTATCTCAGGAGATGCTTGATTCATTAGCTTGTATTTTGCCATTCGGACATCTCCAACCTCATCAGCTTCAATGATAATTCCAGGAGATTCAATAACTCTTTGAGAGTAGAGTTCTTTTAAGGTCTCTTTAATGCTTTTCCCAATAATTTCTACCTTTTCTACTCTATTTTCATTAAATTCATGAAGGGGTGTTGTTTCAAAAAGCCATGTTGTGGTCTTGACATCAGAAGGAGGGATTTCTTCCCTTATAACTTTTGTAACAGTTTCATCTGATTCCTTAATAGAATCCAAAGTTTGATTTTCAAAAAGCCAGACTGCCTGTTTAACATCACCTTTCTGTATATCTTCCTGGGTGACTATTCTGATATTTTCATATTCTGACCCTTCTCCTCTCAGCTCATCTAGAGTGTGGGTTTCAAATAGCCAAGTAGAAGTTTTAACATTGCCTTTTTGTATTTCATTGACATTTACTGTCCTCATATATGTATTCTTATCAAGATTTCCAGACTCAAAAAATTGTTTACTTGTTTTTACATCCCCACTTTGAATATACTCTACAGTGGGCACAACATTATGTAACTCTTTGGAAATTTGGTCCAGTGGCTGGGTTTCAAATCTGTATCTGACAGAACTAACATCCCCCTTCTGAATGTCTTCTTGTGTGACAGATTTAATAACATACACGGTCTCTGATTCATTAATGGAGTCTAGTGGTTTTGTTTCAAAAAGCCACCTTGTCCCACGCACATCTCCATGAATTACCTCTTCCTTTCTAACTGTTGTCACTTCATGGTAATGCCCTTCTCTGTCTTGAATTGCATAGAGTGGCTGGGTTTCAAAGAGCATTCTATAGCTTTTTACATCACCTTTTATAACTTCTTCAGTAATTGTATTGTTGGCACTCTTGTACTCAGATTGTTCTTTAATCTCATCTAAAGAAAAAGTCTCAAAAATAAAGCAGCTCTTTCTCACATCCCCACCTTGTATATCTGTAACTGTTTTCACAAATTCATGACCTTCTTGGATTTCTTTTATCCTATCAATTGGTTGGTTTTCAAAAAGCCATCTACATTTCAAGACACTACCTTTCTGAATATCTTCAGTCTTTAGAGTTTTCATCTTAGTCAAAACTTCTTCTGAGTTGGAACCTATAGAATCAAAGGGCTGATTTTCAAATTTATACCGCATGCTGGAGACATCCCCAGGTTGGATCTCCATTTCTACAGCCTTCACTACCTTTCCTTCTGTTCCTTGTATGCTATCCAAATTCTCTGTCTCAAAAAGAAGACATGCTGTGTGCACATCCCCACCGTGGATCTCCTCCTGTTTTACAGTCTGTAGTTTGATTGCTGCTTCAGAGTCATCTTTTATGGTATCAAGTGGCTGAGTTTCAAAGAGCCAGGTACAAGCTTTGACATCTCCCTTGTGAATGTCTTCATTGCCAGTCATTAGTGACACTTTTTCATAAAGAGATTCCAATGGCTGGGTTTCAAAAAGCCATCTACAGGTTTTGACATCCCCTTTAACAACATCTGTAGCTAATTCAGTTTTACTTTCTATTTCTTCCATCTTATTAAAATATTTAATTGAATCAAGGGGTTGGGTTTCAAATAGCCATTTAGCAGATTTCACATTCCCAGCCTGTATTTCTTGAGAAGATATTCCCCTAATTATCTGAAATTTATGAATGCTTTCATCAAACTGGTCAATAGGCCTTGTTTCAAAAAGCCACCTATAGCTTTTTACATCACCTCTTATGATTTCTTCTTGCTGGACTGTCTTTACTTCATGATATTTTCCAAGGTGATCTTGAATGGCATAAAGGGGTGTTGTTTCAAAGAGTGATTTATTTAGCTCTACAGCACCTCTTGTGACTCCTTCCACCTCTATTTTATGTGATGTATCAAATTTAATTAAATTGTTTGTCTCAAAGATATGTGTGTAATTCCTTACATCTCCCCTATCGATGGCTTCAAGTTTCACTGTTTGTATATACTCTTTTTTATCTTCTCTAATTTCTTCTAGAGGTTGGGTTTCAAAAACCCACTTCTGGTGCTTGACATCCCCCTTTTCTTCTTCAGAGGCAGTAATTTTTTTAAGTCTTCCTACATCAGGGCTATCTTTTAAGGCCTCCATTGGAAGTGTTTCAAACAGATGCTTAGTAGTTTGTACATCACCCCCTATGATCTCTTCAGATTGTGTAGGATCTTCAGCAGGCACATCTTTCAGAATGTCAAGTGGCTGTGTTTCAAACATCCAACACTTTCCAGAGACATCGGTACCTATTACTGTTTCCTTTTTAATGATGACCTCTTCTGACTCTTCTTTGATATTCTCCAAAGGTTGGGTTTCAAATAACCACTTTGCCCTACTCACCCCACCTTTGATATTTTCTTCCACAGATATTCCTCGGACAACTTTAATATCTGTGATTTCCTTGTTAATTGTGTCCAGGGGCTGTGTTTCAAACATCCAGCGTGCTGTTCTCACATCCCCCTTTACAACATCTTCTCTGTGAACAGTTTTAATTTCCAGCATTTGGCCAAAACCATCTCTGATAACATATAGTGGTTGAGTTTCAAAACATTTTATACTTCTTTTAACATCTCCCTTAATTTCTTTGAGCTCAGACCTGAGTTGCAGTAGGTGAACTTCATCCACTGATTCAAGCTGTCCAAGTTGATCCAGAGGTTGAGTTTCAAACATATATCTCACAGTCTTCACATCACCCCCAGAGATGTCCTTTATGGCAGTTACTGCTGAGTCTTCTTGACTTTCATGTATTTTATTCATGGAGTCTAATGGTCTTGTTTCAAACATCCACCGGGCTGTTTGGACATCTCCTCTAGCTAGCTCAGGAATTTTCTCAGCATTTTCTTCAGTGGCAGGAGAATGAATCCCCAATGTATCTATGGGTTGGGTTTCAAACATCCACGTGGTATATTTCACATCACCACCAGTGATTACTTCTTGATCAGCAATACCTTTGGAGATGTTATTTTCATCTGGAGAGTCATTATTAATGGAATCTAATGTCTGATTCTCAAAGATCCATCGCATGGATTGAACCTCTCCCTTCAGAATTTCATCCCACTCCAAGTGTTCTCTTTCTGAGTTCAGACCTTTCTGTGAACTGTCATTTGTATTTTCAAAAACATACCGGGCTTGTTGTACATCTGCTAAAACTGAGTTCCCTGTGCTCACTTGACTAGAAACAATCTCAGAAACCTCACTGATATAATCTTTTTCTAAGTTTTTTCTTAACTCAGGATGGATGTGTTTATATAAACGGTTTAATTCATACAAATTTCTTTGCTTGGAATATAGTTCTTTGGGGACTGGTTGCATTCTAGGAGGGCTAGGGAATTCAGGGGACTGGGAAAATGCTGTCACATTTACTGGAGTCTCAAGCATATCAGGTGGGGGAGGAGGAAATTCTTCTGTCTTTCCTGAAGGAATGGTATTAACTTGTGCTAGAGTTGAGGAAGTAGCACTGTAGTCACTATGTTTTGTGGTTGATGCTTCATTCCTCTGACTGTAAGAAGTACAAGATGTGGAAGAGGTACCCACTAATGATGATGGCTTTAAAGTCTCTTCAAAGTCACTTTTGATCTTTAAGGAGAGAAAATCAAATCACATAAAGATGGATGTAGTGGTGAAGCCTTCCTAGACATTTCCCTTTACCTGCCCACCTGCTGTGACATCTCCATTGTGAATAACAGATGCTATACTTCATTTAAATATCTACCTTAAAACAATATTTAGTATTTGTCATCTTCCTTATTATCCATTTATAATTTTAGAGCTACATTCTTTATTCAATACATCAACAACTCAGTTGTTTAACATTTATGCATAATATTGTTTTTCTCTCCTTTATTTAATGTGCTATGCAGAATAACTATGGGGAAACAATAAAAGTCTTAGTGTACTTTTGAAGGTTGTTTTGTTTTCCTTCAAATTTCAAACATAACAAAACATCTGACATTTAAAATTGTCTTTATTACCTCATCTAATGTTAGTCATTAAACTTTAGAACATATATAATTTTTCTTCCCTCATTTTCTCTAGTGAGAAAAGTTTTAACTCTACCTCTTGTCACATGTAGGATAATATTCTCTTTATATACTGGTTAGAAATTTTTGTTGTTGTTGAGAACCATGTCAAACATTTAGCAATTTGAAAATACTATGCATTTAAGTCTGGTTTTGTATGATGGGTTTCTGTTTAGAGAGATTATCTTACCTTAATCTGCTTGGCTGGGGTTGTCACCTCTTTATCAGAATAAAGGACTTTTTCCTGGGCAGATTTTTCAAATTGTTCTTTTAAAAACTTAGTTGAAACCTTTGGTAACTCTTCATCTTCAGGTGTGTCAATGACTGTGACAACAACAGAATACCAGGGACATTATGTAACTAAAAAATGATACATGAGGAATTATAAAGCTACAGGAAACTTCTCAGAAGTTAACTTAGAAAATAAAAGGTACATATGTGTAAGTACCATATATGTATGTGTGTGTATTCTATATCTATGGATATGTAACTATTGTTTTATAATCTATTATTGTCAAGAAATACAGAAAGTAAAATGGTAGTGTTAGTGAATCTGGATGGGAAGTCATACTTGATGAAATTACCATTTATTTTTTTCTAAACTTTCTATGTACTTGCTTTATTAACATTTATAAAACAAGATCAAAAGGAGAACAGTAAAGGCAGACTTTTTCTTTAAGTAGCAAAATGAAAATATAAATACAGTTCAATAATGCTTTGGTGGCATATGGATTCAATCTTCCTCAAGTCCTTCAGGACTACAAAAACTGCCATTCTCTTTTAGCAAGCAAGACAACCTGTGTCCATTCTATGTGAACACTTACAAATCTGCCTGTCATATGATCTCATATCTATAGGTTGGATAGCTGGATTTTTAAGTGCTCAAATCTGTTTTAAAAGTAATGCAATCAATGTAAACAACTTTGTTATCAGGGATCTTGATAAGTATCATTATTTTCCAGGTTTCTGGGGCAAGAACAATGTTGAGGTGGTCAGCTTATCACATTCTAGGCTTTTAGGATGAATACATCTAGGGTAGATGGGCACTGACCTATTTTAAAAAGTTTTTTTTTCATCTATTACCACAAGCAGAATAAAATTATATGAGTCATTGTTACTAACTTTTCTTAGTTGGATGAACTGTATTTTGAAAGTCCTCTATTCAAACATAGACACTTCAATGGAATAAAAGTATATTAGGATCAAATGATATACAATTCTTACCTGTTTCTTGAACATACTGATGAAACTTGGAAGCTTGGTTTATTTCCTCAGTGTGTTTTTCAAGATGAGGTATCTATGTTTAAAGACAATTTTAAATAAGTACTTGTTTTCAAGAAGCAAGTTATTTCAGTCCTGCACATAAAGCCTTCATCTCAGGTTTTCATCAAAGTCTTGAATACAGGTTGAGAGACACTAATTTAACCTCTACCACTATTTTAATACAAAGGTTTATGCTGCAACATGACACAGACAAATAAACTTGTAAGTTGCACTCATTTTTAGGGTGCTGATTTTATTTTTCAAATATGTCATTTTCAAACTATAGAAAGGGACACTGATTGATGTTAAATACCTAAAGAAAATTAAAAAAAATGCTCACAACTTCAGAATTTCCACAAAGTGTGGAAACTTAAAAGTACTGAGTTTCTAAGTAGTTACCACTTCTGTTCCAAGAACATCAATTTTGTGTGCTCTGGAAGCCTCTTGTTCCTTTTTTTCCATTTCCAGGCCTCTTCTTGAAATGTCAACTTGCCTGTTACGAATTACCTCCTGGGGAAAAAATAAAGAATGACTGAACAAATAGACAAAGTCTTAAGAATGTGTGAAAATTTTAACTTATTTTTATTAATGAAATTTCAGTAAAGAGGATTCTGAAAGAAGAAAAGGAGAAGAACAAGACTCCACAGTATATTAGTTTGCTTGGTTACTTTAACAAACTTATCATGAACTTAATGGCCCAAAACTGTATGAACTTAATATTTTACAGTTAGGTAGGTCAATAACCCTGAATGTGTCTCACTGGATACTGTCAATTGTCAGAAGTTATGCACTTCTTTCTTCAGGTTCTATGGAAGACTATAAGAATACATATACTTGAAGTTGGGATTCATTATTTTCTTTATATTTATATGTATAAGAAATACTAATTTTCAGTTTTTATAAAAAATTAGTCTCAAATTAGTAGTGAGTAGCAAAATGAACAAAAGTGTATTTTAATCAAATGGGTGATTTTTCTCTTTATGCTGAATTAGTTTTAGGTTATCAAATGGTAATGCTTTAAGACAAGAATAAATTTAAAATTAACTCATGAGATCTTGATTTGTGACATTTTGATGTGTGTGTGGGGGTGCTAATGGACTTGTAGTATGTGGTCTCCTTACCCCCCAAAGGCATTTTATTTATAGGGTCAAAGTTCTGATTGATCAAGGGATAGTCAGACATTTGTGATATAAAATATAATATGCTCTTATTACACTCTTCTGAAAATGGGAATCAAGAGAAGAGTTGATACCTCCCAAGAGTCCCAACAAGGAGTTGAAGGCAATTTAAAGTTTTACAATTTAAAATGTAGATCACATTTCAATGATTGGATTAATTAACCAGATGGGAGTTCTTTTACAACATATATAAAATATCAAATCTTTATGTATTTTGATGTACAACTAATTATCTTAAGATTTTACTTTTCAATTATACTTCATAAAAGCTAAAATATATAGAGAGAGTATATCTCACTAAATAGAAAATATTGTATTTTATTTTACAAACAGAATGGTCTTCTTGCCCTAGTTACATATACACATACAGATGTCATCCACATATCTAAAATATTTTTAATTAGCATGCTTGATACAATGTGTGCTAAGGAAAAGCTTAGTTAACAAATGAAGGAAGAAAGAAAGAATGAATGACTAAAATAATAAACTTCCATTAATAAACTTCATTCAACCTTCTATTTGCCAGAGACCATTCCAAAAACAAGGGGCAGAACAGTGATCAAAATGTGTACTTTACTTTCTCCAGAGGGAGTATAGAATATAATCTATATTCTCTCCTTTAAGTTTAAAGATTGCAATTCCATACAGGAAGCTTTGCATAGTCCAATTTTATTGAAGGATAGCAATAATGTTAGACTGGAGGTAAAAATAATAATCATTAAAAGCTACAGATAAAAAATTCATAGACACACAAAAAGTCTGCATGACAGCTACATAAAACTGTGACAAGTCTTTCCATCTACAGAGAAATAACGAGAATATTCTATGGCTTTCTTCAAGACAATGAGAAATAGGATGCACTGATAAATTGGACAGTGAAAGTTGCAAAGGACAGTGTTAGTCTGACTAGCCCTAAGATCTTGTTTAAGGGGACTACAAACATTCCTATAGAATCATTCTCTACCTACACGCCTACATGCCAGGCTGTCTAAAATATCATTTACATGACCCATTCAGCCTTTTTAAAGTTTTAAATTAGCTAACACTAACAAAACTCAAGATTTCCCCACTGCTTTTGAAAGCTTTGTAGACCTGGGAATACCAGGTTTCCATTTCGAGATGGCAGTGGCTAGCAGGAACGAAGTGGTGACCAGCCTTTTCAGCTGGGACAAAGACTTTGTAGTTAGACACTTTTCCTGTAACTCACTATTATTTATCACCAACCAGACATTTTTTTTTTAAAAACCTGCTTCAAATCCAAAGAAATCTGAGCTTCTGATAGATTTTGTTAATTGTTAAACAAAAGAATAGAGTTAGTGATGTGATTCTTAAAACCAAATGCAAAATACTGGATGTAAAGAAACAGTAAAAAACATTGTGAGACATTTTCAAGTTATCATTTTTAGGGCCACCTCATTATACCTAATGTATATCTGTTTGTGTAAAAGCAAGCCATGTCTATCACCTTTAATGTATTTTCTTGTAAGGGATGATACAACATAAACAGTACAAAGATACATAAATTCAGTTTAGAGTTGTAAGTTTCAACTTTAGCATTTATGTACTATTACCAAATAGAACTGTAATTGCTATACTAGTTTGGTATGTTAGTGTCAATGCATCAATTTTACTGCCCCCTGGTTACTGTTATTTACATAAAGCCTGTCTTAAAATGTTCTGAGATTTTGTTTCTATCATTTATTATGTTTCATATCCTGTACCTAGTTTATTTTGGCTTTTAAATCTGACATTCATTCTTCACAATTGCTGATATCTAAGAGTGTAGAGTTAGGTAAAAGGGTGGATCATCTTCATGCTCAGGAAGAAACTAAATTACACAAAATATAATAAAGAATTCTGGCCAGAACACCATACATAAATTCACACAATTCAGGAAATTGGTTCCTGAAAATTAAATTCAAATATAGTTCAGGCTGCAAGAGATAAAATGCAGTTTTGTTCACAGGTGAATTCTCTTGGAGTCAGGAATGGGGGATCAGTTCTAGCTCCCTCTTCTAAAACCTATGGCATAATCCCAAATAAGCTACTAAATCACACCTAAACTCGTTTTTTTTTTTTTTCATTTTATTCAGCCCTTAAGAGAAAGAAAAATAGATGATACATCTGCTGTAATTCTGGAATCTAAAGGAGACAATGTGGTAAATCATAAAATAACATTATGATGCTTGCGTGGCTCACAACTATCTAATGTCAGTTCATATGGGAGCCAAGGATATTATAAAATTCACCCTTGATAAATAAATGCTTCTTCTAAGATTTCTCCAGCCCATTCTGCCTATCCATCTTGCCACTGTGATCATTATTATGGGATAAGAGAGTATACATTTTTACATAAAAATGCAAACTCACTTTTTAGCACAGTGAGTAAGGAAAGAAAAAGATAGACTTGTTGATGGTGACACACTGTAACTGTGACTTTTAGAAGGAGCCCCCAAAATGGCATGAAAGACTGGCAGAGTGATAGATGAGAGCTGCCTCAGTAGAGCAAAAACAAACAAACAAAAAAACAAACAGTTCATGTTCAATGCCAGTAATTCAGCAATTTTACCCATCACTAATCTCATTTTTAATAAAACTAGAAAGGGTTATGATGCATTAATGTATTTGCATCTTTGTCAAACAAACATAAGCATCACCAAAGCTGTGTTATTTGTTAACAAAAATGTCAATGGATTCAAGTTTTGAAAGCATAATCAGTTCTTTCATGCAAAGAACATAACAATCTGCTGTTGATATATGTCTCTATTTAGATGCATTTAAATTCACCCCTGCTTTCTTTTACCCTGTTTTTTCTCTTTATTTTTATTAAAGCTTACTTTAAAAATTACAGTATAGGCCCTCCCTGGTGGCGCAGCGGGTTAAAGCACAGCACTGGGAAGCTAAAGTCACTTCCGCATGAGTTCAATTCCCGCCTGCCCCGGAGGTGACCACATGGCGCGGCAGACCTCTCCTGACCCGCCCGCTGCTCCCCTCAGCAGTGTACTTCGTTGATCTGCCTGTTCTGCTCCCCACTCTGTCTCTGGTGAATCCTCTCACCCTCGGCATCTCTGGCCTGTATCCCAGTTCTGTATGCACAAATAAATAAATCTTAAAAACAAAAATTACAGTATAAAGTTAGTATCTTTAGGGCCTGAGCTTCAAGTACAGTTTTTTTTTTCGTATTAACTGTAAACTTTTAAAGTCTTAGTTCAAAGATGATTTGCTCTTTGAAATCTTTACTGACACTGCACAGTTAGCTATTTCATTCTGTCAGTCTTCATCTCTTTTTGTTTACTTGTCACATCTCACAGTCATCATCTAATAATATAACCCTCTTATTTAACCAAAATCATGCATCTTTATATCCCATTGTTTAGCTTCTCAGGACACAATAAATTCTTCCCCAAATACAAAGGAGAAAATGCAGCTATCATATTTTTCTAGGATTTTGAAAATGTCATGAATTTATAAATATCTGCATTAAAATTTAAGTAGTTAAATTTTTCATATAATCCTTCATTTTTTGGCACTTATTGTCAAACTTTGATACAGAACATTTCATAATTGGCAGGTGCAGTTGCAGAAGCTGTTGTGTATAATATAGTATGTCAATCAATTTATAAAGTGCACTCAGAAAAAGGATTCTTGACAACATTTCAAGTGATCAGGACATCTATGGAAAAATGTGGACAGTCTGTAATGCTGTGAAGAGTAGTTGGCATCATTGGCATGAAGACAAGTACTATCAACAAACAAAAACAAACAAACAAATAAAAATTCAAAGGGAAAAAACACACAAAGGGAAAGACGCTTACAAAATCGGAAAACATATTTTTAAATCATATCTTATAAAAAGATCTTCTGGTGTGAAAAAAAAATTTTGTTTTTGTTTTTTGTTTTTTTGTGAATGGCTTTTACTCATTGAATTACTGAATCTGTTTTGTCAAATATGTGGAAACAGCAACAGAATGCATTGGGTAGAATTAGATTGACAGCAAAAAGTTAAGCTGAGATATTTAGAATGACAATGGAAAATAATAAGTTTATCTTCAATTTTGATTTATCTAAATAAGGAACATATGTCAATGAACAAAAAAGGTCAAGGTGGTGATAAACAAGATCCTTTGATTAACCAAGTAAATTCACAAGTAAATCATCCAGTTTTTCTTGGTTCCATAGCAATCCTGCTAAAAGCTTTGAGTAGGTATTTGCTGGATTGTGGAAACTAGGAAACTAATGTTGTAAAATATTAGAAATGAAAGTGTTAAGGTAATGACTTTTTCTTTGAAGATCACTGCATCCCCAAGTATGTGTGATTTTATAGAGTTTCAC